CTCAATCTAAGCGCCTTAACCCCGAAGAGGGACCGAAAGGCTCCCTTCGGATGCAACCCTTTCACATCAGAAAAATATGCGCTGAAAATCATTAAAAAAAGGAGGATCCAGCGAGGAGGGACGAGAGGTCACCCCCTCGGAATAATTGATAAATCAAACAGAAAGCACGCGGTGGAGTATTGACTCTGAAAAGCACGCTCAATTTTCCCCCTCCCCGCCCCCCGCCTCCGCGCGTGGTACTTAATACTCAGCATACTTCATCATCGACAAACAATAATAGAGACACGCCGCCTCTTAGTTCAGAAAACAGGGCGACGCTGGCGCGGACATTTTAAAACGCGACCCCTTTGCATACTCCGGAAAATGCTGGGTCACTATTCAATTAAGCAAGATGTGCGTGCGGAAGGGGTAAGGGGGTCGGAGCCCTCCCCCTCCGATTGACGAGATCATTAATTGGCCAATGGCGACTGCGCATCGGCACCCCTCCGTCTATTATATTATAACAGCATCGGCGTATTTAAATGAAAGGGTTGATATTATGATTTTGCCCGGTGCACGGTGACGAGGAGCCGGGGTCTTTTCACCCCTTGCTCCGTGCTCCGAGCGATTGGCTGGACGGGGCGGAAGGTGAGGAGATCGTCTCTCCATCCTTCTCAAACTCATCCGCTACAGCGTTGAAAGATAGAGATGGATTATGTGACGCGGCTCGTCAGCATGGTTGTATGATGTCAAAAATAAAAATAAGAAAAATTATACACTGGGTATATATTGATAGCATAGATATGAGAGATCGCATACTTCGGTCTCATGTCAAACCATCAGTGAATTTTTTAAAATAATTTTTTACATATTTTTTTAAAAGGAGCTTTTTATGGGACACGTCTGTATCTTCACAATCATGTTTTTAGGTTAAACTATTGTTGACTTAACGGGGACGATATTCAATAAAACTTAATTCAGCGCCTTTCATAAAGTAGCTAATTGGCAAATGGAAAACCGTTTTCCAATATTTAGGGGGAAGATGTCATTTAGACCTGTGCCTTGAAATTAAGTATTTTAAACGGATGTCCTGGGAGTAATCATGCAGTAACGTGGTTAGGGATTATCAAAAGATAGGATAGGATATGTACCGTTTAATTTTCTCAATGACGGAGGGGTCAGAAATTCAAAATTCTGAATTGAAAGAGAAAAGAAAGAAAGAAAAAGCGTTGCGTAGAGGAAAATTTTTGCGTACAAAATGCGCTTGAATTTTTAATGAGCCATAGCATGTAAAGGGAGCATCTAAAAGTTCCTCGTGGGAATCCAGAAGTATTTAGAAATTCAAACATGGCTACTAAAAATCATGTATTGTAGTTTCCTCATTGGCTTGTGAATCATGATACTTCAAATTTACAATTCACAATCAAATTTTTCCACGAAAAATTAGCTTCTGCAAATTGTAAGATATACAAACTTTAATAAGGTGTGAACCACACTGGAAAAAAAAAAAACACATTGGATCTAGAGTCCAGACTCTTAAAAAAAACATCGACAAGAAAAAATACTCTTGATTCAATCAGATTTAAGCTTGAATCAAGAATCAAGCCTCTTAATGTGAGCGGATTTCCTCTTGATTTAAGCTTGAATCTGATTGAATCAAGAGTCCTATTTTTTGTCAATGTTTCAAGAGCCTGGACTCTAGATCCAATGTGGTTTTTTTTCCAGTGCATTACACAAGTATTTTTCAGTCTCAACTCATATAACCCATTTTAACCACCTTATTTCCTTGTTTCTGGCTGAACATTCGTTCATTTTCTCCCCATTTTTTCATGCGTCTGGCAACACCGCTCAGTGTGCGCCTCTGACACGACCCCGCTCGACGACTCTTTTGTTGTGCGCGCGTATTTTTTAGGCGGATTTTGAATCCCTCCTTGCTCCGAGGCTTAGATTTTAGTTTGCAAAGGGTGGAGGAGATAAGGGTGGGAGGACCACTTAGGTGGAAATAAGTAGGTTGTAATAACTGATGGATGCACGGCCTCTTACGTGCCCACCCTCTTGATCGACACTCGGTGGAAACATGGCTGTCATATTAAAGCGAGAGAGGGGACACTCATGAAAAAAACCCGGATATAGTAGGGTGGTTATATAGAAGCAGGGGCTGAGGATAAGTTTTCCAGATAAATGTAGTTAAATTATACATGCAGACATTTTGAAAATTTAAATTACTATGAAAAAATTAAAATTTTCTACATGTAGAAAAATATTTGCCGATACGAAGGTAGGATTTTGTGACCAACACAACTCTTCGCTCATTATGGAAAAGAAAAACTCCGAAAAAACTAAACTAAAAAAAAAGAAAAAAGTTAGAGGTCTCATCTTAAAATTAATTGACATTTCACCCCGGGTAATTACATCTTATACCTCGTGGTGCTCGTTGGAAGTTTTCGTTGTCAAATACGATAGTAATTTCAAAATCATTTGACTTGTAGCACGGCAGTGAACTGCGTATACTGAAAAAAAAAAAACACATTGGATCTAGAGCCCAGACTCTTGAAAACATTGACAAGAGAAAATACTCTTGATTCAATCGGATTTTTGCTTGAATCAAAACGAAATCCGCTTAAAATAAGAGGCTTGGTTCTTGATTTAAGCTGGATTCTGACTGAATCTTTTCTGAGTACTTTTTCTTGTCGATGTTTTTAAGAGTCTGGACTCTAGATCCAATGTGTTTTTTCCAGTATACGCTGCAAAATCTGGCAACCTTTTGCAACCCTTTAACGGGTCACAGGGCATCTGTTTTGAACCACTCGACGTGCTCAGGCGAGGATGTAACAAGAACAACACTGAATTTTATTTTGTTTACTCCTTTTGAGTTTTTAAAACCGGAAACGGAAATGGTGCTCCAATCCTGATTTCTCCGCTCGCAAAAGGCGCCCTCGCCGCACCAACATCGTCCCTTAATACGACAGGGCTTTTATTTTATCCTGGACTTACACACGTTTGTTACGGTCGTCGGTCGTATATTATTTAGAGAGCCCTCCAGGCATCAGACCCGGAATCGCCTCTGATAACCTCATCTTTCAAAGGGACTTATCTTTATGGTGTTTTACATGTTTCCATTCTTTCAATGATGAAAAAAGCGTGGTATTGAGCTGCTATCTTGAACTATTTTATGCCAATTTCGAACCTCAAAAGTTTGTTTTTGGGTCCAAAAAGTAACCGCGCAAGCGCTCAGAACATACCACTGCAGCTGTTTTGCGTAACGTTAGAATGAAAAAGGCCCTTTTCATAAGTTAAAGGTAAAATTCAATTCACAAACAATAATATAATACGTACAATGAGACAGCATAATATGTACAATTTTAAATTAAATCGAAGGAATGAACCACAAGACAAAGGTGCGATTTTACGCACTATGATACAGGCTTTCCATCATCAAATTTTTAAGTTGAGCACTTTCTTGCAATGGAAATTACTGAGAGAAACTCCTAACCAAGATAGAAACGTTTTTCGATGCGTAAATTTCTCGCAAATAGAAGAATCTATTGCATCTACTTGAGTTAAATCGCTCACTAAACGTTATCATGGCACTCTGTGGTTTTAAAATATACCTTAGTCCCGGCACATCGGCTACTATATTGCGTGTTTTTTACTTTTCAAACAGCACAAGATGGGGACGGAATACTGCTCGCAATCTAAGGTCTGTCATACTCGTTACAGTTTTCAGTGTGCGCGATTTGATTCAAGTATAGGCTCTGGTTTTTTATGCGAGAGGGAAATTCAAATTTTTCGTGACAAATGCTGAGTAAGAACGTCATTATATCGTGGTTTAAGGTTGGTATTAGTTGTTTTCATCGCATCTGCGTGAAATTTTGAGGAGCAATCATACGTCGACGGCCAAGTGCGAAACCACGTATCTCCGTTTGCAACGTTTCAGATTTCCTGTCATACTATACTTTATTGTTTCCTTGAATAACTATCGACGTAATTTCTTGAAAACTTCCTTGATTTTTTTTTCCTACGTTAGTAAAATATTCTATGTTTTCAAGTTTTAAAATTAACTTGTTTCTCTTCGAAAAAGTTGAATAGGAGCCGAAATTTTGAAAAATTGCGATGGAGGTACGTGATTTATGCACTGGAAGAAAAAGGCTCTTGGATCCACAGTCTAGACTCTTAAACAAATTAAGAAAAAATACTTTTGATTCGATCGGACTTTTGCTTGATTCGAGAGCCATAAGCCTCTTAGTCTAAGCGGTTTGCCTTCTGATTCAAGTACGAATCCGATTGAATCAAGTGTACTTTTTCTTCTCAAATTTATTACACTGGAAAAAAACCACATTGGATCTAGAGTCCAGACTCTTAAAAACATCGACAAGAAAAAATACTCTTGATTCAATCGGATTTTTGCTTAAATCAAGAACCAAGCCTCTTAATTTGAGCGGATTTCCTTTTGACTTGAGCCTGAATCTGATTGAATCAAGAGTATTTTTTCTTGTCAATGTTTTCAAGAGTCTGGACTCTAGGTCCAATGTGTTATTTTTTCCAGTGTAGGAGTCTAGACTTTGGATTAAACACACTTTTTTTTCTCCAGGGATGTATTTTGGCCATCGGTATGAGAACGTCTAAATTTGTACCTCGTCCCGTAGTTCATTTTGAAGGAAACTAGATTTCGATGGGCGTAACTACTGACGAGAAACGTGACTTTGGAGGGGACAAAACAGGAGACAGGGGGACGGGGGGACAGGGGTCAGGGGACAAGGCTCCAGCGTGGCGATGGGCGTCGTCGCCGGCGAGGGAGGGGCGTGCTGTGCCGTGCCGTCAGCGTCGCGCCGCGACACCAGTGGCCGGGGCTCCGATGACAGTCACGAATCACTCACCCGCCCCGGGAGGGGGAAGGGGGGGGGGTGCCGGGCTCGGCTCGGGTGACAATCACGAATCACGACACTCACGCCCGCGGGTCAGGGACGAGGGGTGAGGAAGGGGGAAGGGGGGGAGGAGAGTAAAAAAAGAGTTGGTCTTACCACCTCCATCATGAGTCCGGGTCCGGGGCCGGGGCCGCCGCCGTTGACGATGCTCGCTTTGGATTGGTCGGCGTCACGCATGCGTGGAGCTGCTACCCCTTTCTCGCCGCCACCGCGCGCGCCACTCCCGCTCCGCCCGCGACCCTCACCTGAAACAGACAACGCACGGGTTAGATTCGCAGAGTTTTGCTCGAGCGTCCGTCTCCGGAACATGCTCGACACCCACGCTACCGTGCTAAGGAAAAACGCCGCATGAACCTTCAGGCGTTGCCAAATTTCCTTTGATAAAACGCGAATTTCGAGGTAAAGTTATGAATATTTTCCTTCCAATTTTTCAGATGATTTTGTTCGCAATTTTATCTAAAGTTCCTGAAAATGTCAAGGAAAATTATTCATAACCTTCCGCAAAAATCAACATTTTATCGAAGGAAATTTGGCAACTCTCGAATGTTCATACGGCGTTCTTCCTTAGTACGGCAGCACGAATGGACCGCGTTTAGCAGAGAGGGACCAGGCTACATCATCCATTGCCGAAAACTAGGCACAGTTTTTACGAGAGAACCTGTGTGCGGATTCATTTTAAAGTTTTAGTGAATCTGCTTCATACTATGCTGAAAATTGACAGGAATTGGCACAAAAATCCGCACAACCGTTTTAATGTGAAAAATTGAATTGACCAATTTTTGGCAATAGCTGGTGTGGCTTGGTTCATATCTGCTGGATGTGGTCCAACACGGAAAGAAATGGATTGCTGAACCAAAAATTAAATTGTTAAAAAATATGTCCGACATGTTTCAAATGAAAACTTTACAATAGAGGAAAGCTAATTTAACCACGAGGGTGGTTAAATTGGCATTTTTTATTGTGAAATCCACATTGAAACATGTCCGACACTTTTTTTAACGACAAAATTGTAAAATCCGCGGAAATTTTCTTTCCGTGAAATCGTCGATTCCCGGACGGAACGTAACTCCATTCCAAGTCTGCAAAATTGACTCGAATAATTAAATTTGAGTTAGAATAAAAAATAAAAACAAGAGTGTACCATTTTAATTTTTGGCCAAAATGTTTCTTATTTTCGCATGAGATCAGAGTAGCAATCAGTGAAATTTTCAGTTAGAAATGTCCCAGATTCTCCTGGTAAAAAACTTGCGAGGATAAATCTGACAACATTGAAATGAAGTTACGTTCATTCGTCAGGAAAACGACGGAGAGGGAGCGTTCATGAATTACGTAACGTTTTAGGGGGGAGGGGGGTCGAGGAAAGTGTTACGCTACTTTTTCTGACGTGTTAAAGCACAAAATCTTTAAAAATGGGGAGGAGGGGGAGAGTCAAAATGCCGAAAATGTGCGTTACGTTATTTATGAACGCTCCCAAAAATCCTACGTCACAGCAAATAAAACTACCGTGCTTAGCAAAAAAGTTTAAGCTTTTGAAGTTTTTTTTTGTTATATACTTCAGAATAAGAAAAATAAAAGAAAACCTCGGAACATGTATGAACATTACTAAATGATTCATTTGAACCTGGTAGGACATGCTTATGTTTCTGTCCATTACTTTAGAAAATAAAAGAGAATAATGTTTCAAGTAAGAAGTCATTGCTGACAAATCAATAGTTGCATTTTCAAATTATACAATATTCAGTAAGAGGCATTTTAGAAACACGGGATTACTATGGTGCCTTGAATTAATGCACAGTCTGAGATTGCTGTGGCTAACTGAAGATTGACATCAGTTTTCTTTTTTTTTCTATTTTTTCATAACAGAAGGTTCGTCAGTATCATTCATGCAGCCATCAATTTATCCCCAAGAATATATTATGTAGAGGAGAAAGACAAATCTGACATTTAACTGTGATAAAAGAAACATCACATCGGGTTACATCACATACCGTTACCTAATTAAAATTTATCTCACTGACAAAATTAGCTTTGTCAATGGCGAAAGTTCAGCTTGGTTGAAATTAGTGAAATAGATAATAACGGTATCAATGAATATTGTCACTCCATCGAGTAACTGTTATCATTTTTCGTTAAAACAGTCGGCCGGAAAGCATTAATTGGCAAAGTTTACCCGGCTCGAAACCTCATTCAGCCAACGTGGTGAAAGTGAGAGTTAATTAAACGAAAAGAGCATTCTAAAATGCTCCAAATCAGCTTGCGGCTATGCGCTGCGCCACGCCGACGCGACCACACGAATAGTCGCTCTCTTATGACAAAAGAACGTAACTGAATTTTAAGATAAGCTCTACCATCCATGTGCCTCCACACTCTCTGCGGCTCAAATAGAAATGATTATACGTATCAAGACCAGAGACCTACGAAATAACGACGAATTCCATGCTATTTTCCCATGCGGGCTAGTTTGAAATTATCAGAGCTGTAACCGAGACAGTCATTACGCCTACCGAGGTCTTCCACCCCGATCTAAACCTAAATAGAAGAGCGAAATGCACTTAGATCAATCTCAGGATGCGACCATTCCGACACTCAGGAGCTGTTCTTGCCTATTGACCCGAAAAGAAGGCGACTGTCACATCACGAGGCGCGCGGCCAACGTCTGGGCGGAGTGATTCGCCTTCAATTCACCAAGTAGGCAAAAACACTTCCTAAGCGTTAAAATAGTCGCATCCGCAGACAATACCTGATTACGCTTTGATACCTAGCCGTGATGATACCATGACGTCTAATTTACCTCAGCTATTGACAAAAATATTGAAAGTGTGTTCTTCGATTCTTTTGTCGTTTCCAAATTGAAAAAGTGGGGCAAAATACCGGCTACTAGCACCATGAGCACCAGCACCTACATTCGTATAGAACTACTGGGGGCTGTTCCTCTTAACTGTTCGCGGCCAAAACCCCCGAAGTGCTGCTTGTTTCAGACGTTATGTGGTACCTGCTACTCTTATGATTTTATATGATTGAGCATGCTACGATAGATAGAACACAGTGCTGGCAGTTCATTTGACAGATTCCCCCCCCCCGATGTAAATTATACGAATAGAGAGTTCATTTATCTATCACATCCTGATATGGACCGTGTTAAGCTGATAGGAACCAAGCCACATCAGCTATTGCCAAATTTAACTGGGCAATTTCATTTTTAACATGAAAACGGCTGTGCGGATTTTTAAGCGAATTTCAGTGAATTTTCTGCATAGTGCGAAGCAAATTCCTTAACATTTTTAAAGGAATCCGCACAAATTTTTTCCTGTAGACACTTAAATTGCTCAATTAAATTTGACAATAGCTGATGTAGCTAGGTTCATTTCTACTAAACGCGGTTCAAATACGAAGTGCTTTTCTGCCGTGCTGAGCAAGCTTTATGAGCCTTCAGACGTTGCCAAGTTTTCTCCGATAAATACCGAATTTACTGGGAAAATTGCGAATATTATTTTCCAAAATTTTCAGACAATTTTGCACGCAATTAAATCTAGAACATCCGAAAATTTCAAGGGAAAATATGTATAAATGTCGTCAAAAGTGCACGCTTTATCGAGGGAAATTTGGCAACTCCCGAAAGTTCATAAGGCGTTCTTCCTTAGCACGGCAGATTTGCAGAGCGTTTAATTTAAACAAAACAATAATCCGCGTCACAAGGCGACGAATCCTTTTCTTGTGCTTTCATTTATCCGGATTTAAATACCTGCCGCCGGAATTAGGTTATAATGTCCTCCCCACGCAACGGGTGGTAAAAAAAAACCGAGGCACGACTGCGGTGGGAGCCGAATGGAAATAGCTTCTCCCTTCCCTCGAGCTTTGCTCTGCCCTCTGTGAAACAAATAAACGGAAATTAATAAATTAATTATCGTCGCGTTAGCCGCCGCCGCGTCGCGAGGGTGAGACACCGATCGTGTCAGCGGGGCGGGCGGGGCAGGGTGGGGGTGGGGAATCGGCACGGCAGCGGAATGAAATGAAATAAAAAAATGAACTAATAACCGAGCCTAGCCTACGTCGTCGCTCCGGTGGCGTCACACGATTTAATAACAGGCCGCGTTGTCAAGTTTTCACAGAAATTAGGTACGCTCTGCCGTGTTTAGGAAAAACGTCGTTTGCGCATTCGAGTGTAGCCAAATTGCCTCGCACAAGATATTCATTTTTGAGAACGTTATGAATATATTTCCTTGAACTTTTCGGACCCTTCAGATCAAATTACAAACTATAATTAACTGTAGAAAGTTCAGTCGCGGCCCCATTATTTCAAACAATTTTCAAACGGATGTGGCCGTTCATAAGATACGTGACGCTAAATTTCGGATTTTTCGACACCCCCCCCCCCCTGATCTAGTGACGAGAATCCCTATCCTTTAATAAAAACAAAACGACTTTTAACTTGTGACATTCGGAACGGTGACTTTACCTCACTACTCACTGTCAGTTTGCCTTCAGTTTTCAGTGTAGGCAACCCGAGCTCTCACGTGGCCGAATAGTGGTATCTCACTCGGCTGCCACGATCGCTGGAGGAAGAAGGCAGGTATAAATAACCAAACCTGGAGCGTGGCGTAGCGTGCGTAACGAAAATACAAAAATGAGATGGAATCCTTTTAGGCGCCACTTATAAGAAACGTGAAGCTGGAATTCGAATATTCGACCCCCTTCGTCTCCCTCTTGTCGTTTCTGTAACGTAGCTGTCTGTCCTCTAAGACGTTAAAATAAATGTTAATAATGATATAATGTTATAATAATAATTATAATAATGTTATAATGTAAATATAATGTTAATAATAATAATAAGGCGTTATGCTCTCCTCAGCCGGACTCATGAAAAAATATTTTAAAATACAGCGTTCTGCTTTACGTAACCCTTCTCTCCGTTCCGTAACGCAGACTCGGAACAACTGCCTCCCCCTTGGGCGTTACGTATTTTATGAGTGGCTCCTGCAGACCGATTTTTGAAATTTTATGTCTGTCGAGCGGACATATGTGACACAGGTTAAAAATGGCGTAGTGTGATTAGTCTGCTATGACTCATCCCTGCTTTATCTCGCCAAAGTCGGGTAAAATTGACGGAAATAAATCGGGATATGATGACTAGGCCTTGAGATGAAAAGGAGAAGCCCTCGGCGCGGCGGTCTCGGCATGTAACACATATTAGCGCCTACAAGACTGCATAAATACTTCACGCATAGCGTCAAAGACAGTGCGGTCG